CTCCCCCCCCCCCCCCTTCCCGAGTACCCACGCCACTCCCTCCCCCCCCTTCCCCTCCCCCTCCTCTCGCACCTCGATGAGTGCGAGGTTCCAAGCCTCCGCGGGCGAACTCCCCGCCTCCCTTTCCATGCGAAGGCGGCCCTCCACCCGCACCAGCAGCCGGAACGCGCGGTGCTCTAGCGCCGCTTCCAGTACCACGGAATCGCGGAAGCCTTTGGGAGACCTCACCGGGCAACGCCGACGCCTTTTGAGGATGATGGAGACCCCACCCGACCGGTGAAGCGAGAACGGAACAAAACAACGAAATTAGATGAAATCCACAACAGAACAACGCGATGACTCTGTTCGCCCCGTCGTCTTCATCAGCAGATCGACACTTGACGCCGAGCGCCACTGGACTCCACTAGACTTGGAAGCTGGCGCCGTCGTTTGGGCCATCAAACGCTTGCGCGGATACTTGCGCGGCACGCACTCCCAAATTTGGACCGACAATCAAGACCTGGAGAACATCTCCAAGGTGGGAGGCCACAGCCCACGTGTGCAGCGTTAGCACAGCAATAGTGGAACATCGTATTGGTTTCGGAAGACGACCCTACAAAGAAGTGGGGAAGGGACAAGGGATGGCAGATAGTCGAGCCCAGTTGGCCGCAGAGGCTTCGAGGGTTGCGACCCGACCGGCGAAGCGAAAATCAAAACAAATGGGGCACGGGATGGCAGGTTGTCAAGTCGGGGTAGCCCCAACCCCGTTCTCGAGACGGTGCAAACAAGCGGCCGCGTTTTGACCCGTTCTTACGGCAAAAATCAAGTGCACCCGGCGCCTTGAATAAACTACTTCGAGCTTTTAAACGGTTACCTGATGGCGATTTCGCAGGCCCGGACGTTTTTTTCTCACAGCGGAGGCGCCGTGGATGCAGTTGAGGCTGTGCGTTCTTCTATGTATCCGAACAACAGAATTTGAAGCCACTTACCCCTTCCCCTCTCCGCGAACAAGGCGCGACATGTAGACGCAGTCGTTACCGACTGCTCCAGATTGTCGAGCGGCGGCTAGCTCTTGGAGCAAAACGCGCACCACCTGCCGCCGAAAACAGCGGCGCGCCGGGAACAATAGACTTACAATCGTACCAAGAAGTGGCGTCAAATATCCCTGGAACGTGCGGCTGTGTGTAACGGCGAACTCTGTGGTATTGCCTTGGGGCCCGGGAAAAATGGTTTCGATCCTATTCGTGAAGTACAATAAATATACACAAAATGAAAGCAAGCTCGCTGCTGCCGGCGACCAGGTGTCCGCGTTATGATCGCAAGAGAAGCGGCCAACGGTGGGCGTGTGGTGTGTGGCTTGATGAAAACGGCCACCATTACCAATGCTTCCGCTCTACAACGGCGCGCACCGCGGCGAAACCGCGCGCGCCCGTCTGTTATTATTGTTGCTGCTGCCGTTGCTATAGCTGTTCTTCGCTGTTGCGGGTTGTTTTTGTTGTGGTGGTGGCTGATTCTTACGCTACATACGCGTAGCTCGCCGGCAAGATCAATAACCTGGTACAGTAACAGACCAGGAGGGCGCGCGACAAAAAACAAGGGCACACGGGGGAGGGGCACCGCACCATCCTGGGGGGGGGGNCAGTAACAGACCAGGAGGGCGCGCGACAAAAAACAAGGGCACACGGGGGAGGGGCACCGCACCATCCGGGGGGGGGGGGAGGGGGCATCACGAACGAAAGAGGCGTTTCCACTTGTAGAGAGCCCGCGAACAAACCTGCTGCGTCAGCATGTGGTTCTCCCCCTCCACGGTGCACGACTGCAGGTAGGTCCCCAGGAGCTCGGGCAGGCCGGAGCTCTGCAGGTACCCGTGCCCCCCACAGGCCTTGCGGCAGTCCTCGATGCCGGCGGCGGTAAGCCCGGAGCACAAGCCCTTCAGGCAGGAGCTGGTAGCGTGGAACTGCTTGAGCGTGTCGCCCGCCCCCTTCTCCCCCGCCAGCGGGGGAAGGCCTGTGGCGGCGGGGGTTTGCGTGAGCTTATTACGGTCGGTCTGCTGCTGCTGTGAGATGATGGGAAGAGAGAGCGTTGCTTGGCCCTAAACAGTCGCACGCTTCCGATGGCAGTGATGAGAGGCAGATTCGGGGCTGCTGTGAGAGGGCCGGGAGAGAGCACGTTACTTGACCCTAGACCACGGAGTGCTGTACTTCCAACTTTCCCAAGTGTTTGAGAAGCAGATTTCGGTGCTGCTGTGGGGACATGATCCCAAAACACCACGATACGCCTCCGACGATAGTTCTGAGAATGAGATTCAGTATTGCTGTGAGCACGGTGAGAGACATGTACTTCCCCCCTTACACAACCAAAACAACGCGGGTAGCCAGTACTACCGTAAAAAACGTTCTCGCTCAGAACCCCCAGCTTCCCCCATTTTTCTCTCACGCACTGCAAAGACCTTCAACACACCTTCTTCGACTGTGGTGTTGCCTGTCTGCTTTCTGGGGTTAATATATAGTCTATCTCCTAAAGGTGGGTCCATTGCCTTCCTGTTCTTTACCAAGACGATTCGTTTGGGATGGCACGAAACAGTCGTGCGGAACGAACGCCGCTTCATGGCAAGGACAAGCTGCAGCAAGCTTACCGTGGACGTGCTCTCTCTCCAGTCTCCGAAGGCGTAGTTTCAGATCCACGCCGGCGAAATGGAACCCGTACGCTGAAGCTATCAGGGGCAAGAGGCGGTGCATCTGGATGGTGTAGTCAAGGACCTGACACAGCACACGAGAAGCGCAAATAGAGCAGTTGCGGCTCGCGAATAAAAAACGTCCATTTGGGATCTAGTGCAAGTTTTTACCGCCGTCGAGCATAGGTCAAGACATGTATATGCACTGCTATCAAGCCAGTAGAACGAACGGTGTGTCCACCACCTGCCACCTAAAAATATCAGCTGAAGAGTATACATGACATCAGAAAGACTAGCCCTTCGAGGGATATTACCTCGTTGGAGTGGCCTACTTTCACAGCAATTGCCCTGTAGCAAAATGGGAAGCCAATCAGAAGGAAACGGTTCCGGTACGGCAGATGAACCAACGGCGCCCCCCCCTCTCCCAAGTCACTGGTATAATATCTTCAAACTGCTGTCAGTCATTCTCTCGTCGCCCCCCCTCCAAAAGTTCCGAAGAACGCCAAACAGTTGCCTATCGGGTAGTCTTTCTTCGAAAGATACGCTACTTTCTTTAAAGATATCACGTCCCCGACAATATGCTCGACGCCGGCGTCCCAGACGCCGCCAGCGAGAGGAACCCGGGGTACGCACGGAACGGTCCCGTCCAATCATTCATCGCCGGCAGCACGAGGAGCCTGGGGTCCGCACGGCACAATCCCGTGCAATCATCAATCGCCGGCAGCGCGAGGGGCCCGGGGTCCGCACGGCACAGTCCCGCCCAATCACCATCACCGGCAGCGAAGACCAGGCCCTCCGCCTGCCTCGACTCCCTCCCAGACGCGAACAGCGCAACGGACGGCGTGCTTCTGCTCTCTGCTCCCGTGCGGAACCTCCCCCGCCTGCGTGGGTCAACAGCTTGGGGGTGGCCGGTACCTGTCGAAATCCGCATCGCGTGTGGACCTCGCGCAGCACAGCAAGTCTGTTCCTGTGGGGCGTGTGCTTATAGAAACCGACATCAAACCATTTAGACTAGCGCCGCAGCAGCCGGGCGGCGGAACCGAACCGGAGCTTGAAGCTTTACCTTCTCCCTTGTCGCCGCCCCGCGCACGTGCCTGCAAACGGCGAAACTTACCTCCCAAGCTGTCCAGACATGCGAGCAATAAGAGCGAGGCACGGAGGGTGATGTAATATGTACCTACAAGCTGTCAAGACATCGGAACAGTCAGAGCGAGGCACGAAGAATGATGTATCGCATCACCCGCCGTCCCTCGCTCCGAGATGTTCCAACGTCCAGACCAGCTTGGGAGGTAAGTTGATACATCACCCGTGCCTCGCTCTGATTGCTCCGACGCCCAGACAGCCTGGAAGTAAGCTTCGCCGTCTGCAGGCATGCGCGGCGACGACGACTAAGGGGGAAACACTCCGAGCTCGGGTCCGCCGCTGTTGCTGCCCGGGCTGCTGGTGCTCCGCTCCCCAGAGGAAACACAAACGCGCCGCTGTGGTGACGCGAGGTGCTTGTACGCGATTCGGCAGGTAGCCCTGCCTTGGGCCCCGGGCCACCGGCACACTGGGCCAACAAGAACACTTGACGTCCTCGCCCGCCTCCTGACCGTCCTCATCGAGCTGAAAGCATAGGGCAAGCGTTGGGGGTGAGAACCCTCCCACTTGCATGGATGGGGTCAGCTCGGGCTTGCGGGTACCAGCCGCCCTCCCGTCGAGATCCGCATCGCGTGTGTTTACCTCGCGCAGCACAGCACCCAGCACCGCGCAGCACGTCTGTTCCTTTGGGGGCGTGATGTTTAGAGGCCGGAATCAAACAACAAGACTACTATTAATAGTCATCGCTGACTTCGTCTAATGATTTGGTTTCGGCTTCTAATTCCGGCGGAAGCCGGGGCGGTGGAACCCGAGCTTGAAGCATGCCTGCCCACAGCGCGCGCGTGCCTGCAGACGGCGAAACGTAACTCCAAGCTGTCTAGACAACGGATCAGGGGGAGCGAGGCACCGAGGGGTGATGAAATCGCATCACCCATCGCCCACCGCGCCTCGCTCTCATTGCTACAACGTCCAGACAGCTCGGAGGAAGTTTTCACCGTCTGCAGGCACGCACGCGCGGTGACCAATAAAGGGACCGCTTTCGACAGGATTAGGATAGGGGGGGGAGGGGGGGGGGGGGG